TAAAATATATTTTATTTAAAGCTGGTGCTGCGTTCACTGACCCCCAGAAAAAGAAAGGAAAAAAGTTTTTCAGGTTTAAATGTACGTTTTATGAAGCGTTTCATTAAAGCTGAAGTTGATCTGTTGTCACGTGGTTCTTTGATCTGCTCGTTGGTAATCTCAGTTTGTTTGTTTGTTTGTTTTGTTTTATTTTGTTGTTTACTTGTTTCCAGCAGGAAAATGCTGAAAACTACTTTGGTTCCAAATTTGTGATGGAAAAAGGAGGAAGTGGATTCTACGTTCAGCACCAGTATCCCATTGTCACCTGCCAGAACAAGAACCCCATCTATGTGAGACACACACACACACACACACACACACACACACACACACACTGATCTGACACGTGTGTGTGTGTTGGTTGTTTGTTAAACACGTTTGTTTTCTGTCTCAGTTTGATTTGGATCCGTCTGAAGTGAGGAAGACTCTGATGAAGCTGCAGCAGCCTCAGGTGACACAGGTGAGTTTCTCACATGTTTCATCTTAAATGAAGGTTTTATTTCTCAATCAGCTGAAAAAAAATCCTTTTTTAACACAATGTTTGCTACAGTTGTTCATAATAAACTTTAAACTGTAGAAGAGTTAATAAAAACTACAGAAATTAGATTCCAAACAGACAAAATCCTGTTTTTTAAAACTGATTTATAACCAATCTTTTAAACAAAATGTATAATCAGGTGAAACTTTTTGTATAATAATATAAACGGTGCGTTTGAGGGGCTCGTGTTGCTCCTCAGAAGGTGTTTACGCACTGCAGGGCCGGCCCCGGCCCCCAGCCGGCCTAGGTCCGGCCCTGCCCAGCCCTGGATGTTTTGCACTGTCATCAGAGCCGCCTCGAAGTGGGTGGGAACTGTGTACCGGAAAAGCGCACATAACGGTCCTTAAACGTTGAGTGAGACGATGAATGGTGATGCACAGAAGAGCAGAGAGTTTCTGAAGGCTGTACTTGTCCAAACAACAGCAACAGAAAGCAGCTGTAGTGAGACGCAGACGCATCGATGAGTAAGCTAGCAATATTAGCTTGTTACATGCTACCGTTATGAAAGCAGTTTCTTTTTCATAGATCTAWATGATTTTTAATGACTTGCCAGACTCGTTTTGACTTGTTTTGACTCGTCAGAGCAAAATAAATAAGTCGTCTGTCGTGGCATGATTTACCAAGAATGCAGAAACACGTTGGAATAAATGCACAGAAAGTCTGCGTGTATGGTCGTCAAATGATTTAATTCTGAGCAACAACAGAGCAGCTTCATGGAAGAAGAACCTCAGCTTAGCCTGTTAGCTTTCGTGCTAGTGCAGATGCTATATTGCTTTTATTATTAGCTCGGCGCTAGCGCGACAAGCAAGCTAAACTAGGTCCTCCATTATCTTACTCTCTGAACAGTAAATTTGTTTTCTCGTGGGTCTATCTGCATAACTGACCTACTTCCTGCATCTCCACCATTTGTTTTAAATTATTTTACTGACCTGTCAAAAGTAATATACCCTTTGATATTTTTTCTTGTTGTCCTAATGTTCACAATTTGTAGCAAAACATTTTCCCTGTTTTTTTTATGTTCCTTTGTGTGACTGTCTGCTGCCTGTCATTTGTACGACCAWATTTGGATGTTCCTGCTTCCTTACTCAATGCAGAGCAGTGACACCTGCGTGGTGCACGATCAGTCACGTGATGTCCAGTTTTACAGATCGATAAAAGATTTTATTTGATCTTTTTGCTAACTGTCTCAATATGATGTTTATTTTTAGAACTCTACAGGAAGGAGGAGGAGAGATGTTTCTGTTTCACACCCAAAGGTA